GAAAATTCTCTTCGAATTCTTTCGGAAAGAAGAAAGTTCTATTCAAAAAGCTTTTTCCTAATGCCTGGTACTTTGTAGAACACATGGGGAAGTGAATGCTTCCTCGATCACCACGATCATAATTTCTTCAATTCTAAGGTCAGTCGTTATCTATGGAGTTGACTCTAATCTAGTTGGAATGACTACAAAAATATCCCCCGTCCGCAAATTTATAGATATACCGTACAGACGCATGCTGGGATTTCTTCTTAGCGAATAAGATAGGCCACTTATAGGTCTCATCCGCCATATTCTTTTTCCTGTTTTGTCATGAAGTCAGCATGCCGTGATCACTTATCTGTAACAGTTTTGTGTGATAATACCATTCTTTTGCCTACTTTTGTTTTTTATATATATATATATATATATATATATATATATATATATATATATATATATATATATATTATGTCATTCGCAGACAGTACTGTTTTGCTGTACCACAGCACCTCAGTGCAACTAGACATCCGAATACTTCAAGCCGGATCGAAACCCAATAGATCAGTCAGAGTGTCTACCACTGAGCTATCTTCACTCGACAGAGAGAAACATTTAAATCTAGCGTATTGTTTTTACGAATGTAAACAAGCGCCAATCAGTCAGAGGGCTCCGATTGATTTTACTGAAGAGCTTTGCATTAGCGCAGGTGGCTGTTGCTGATAGAATTAGCTTATCGCTCAACAGTCAATTGAAAATATATTTTCAAGAGCTAAATTGTGTCATTCGCAGACAGGACTGTTTCGATGTATCACAGCTCCTCAGTGCGACTAGACATCCGAATATATATGTATATACTCGTAGAGTAGATAAATGAAACGGCCAAATATAAGCAGGCGTGTACGCATGTGCTGATGTGCATACGCTGGCAAGTGTATGCACATTAATATATATATATATATATATATATATATATATATATATATATATATATATATATATATATACTCAAATGGATAACTATAAATAAATAAATGTACGTGTAAGTGTTCAAATACAAACACACACACACACACACACACACACACACATATATATATATATATATATATATCCTTTGGTGTGAGAAAAACAGTGCCCAATGATATATCATGTAGTGTCTGAAAACCCTACCACGGTCTGACCGAAGGCTTGTGAATGAAATTGGGCAAACAGAACCCTTGGGGCCATCGATAGCTGTGCTAGGACAAAGTCACAAATCATCGTTGCCGAAGACTTGAGTCTGTTGTCCTTATCGAAATTGTTGATCACGCTAGATAACAAGCTCTTTCCGAGAATCTTTAACTAAGGTCTGCTCGGTATAATTGCAGTATAAACCACAGGTGGGCTCTGTGGGTGTTAAATAAACACAAATGCGCCTGAGCAAGCGTCTGCAATAGGGATTGGCTAGCCGCCCCGTTAGACCGGTATCCTCGAATACGTGTGGCCAGCTATACTGTTGGCGTAAGGTAATTATATATATATAAAGGTCTGTTTCATGCTAGATGCAATCGCCAGGGCCTGACGATTGCATCTAGCATGAAACAGACTGTCGATTCTAAGTGTTGACTTCTATGTTCACTTTTATATTTACACACGCTCTATCTCTGATATTGAGCCTTTTATCCTATAAATACTGCACATCTTAAGACTATATTTCTTTATATATATATATATATATATATATATATATATATATCCGTGAACTAGCGTTATTACAAAAGACCAACATAGTTTCTCAATTTAAATGTTCTTTTGGGAGGTTGCATCTCTGATGAAAAGATTAATACGAAACTTGGTTTTACAACAACGACGATGGCTTACGTTTCATTTGAACAATCCCAGTTCAATCTAAGAACATTTAAAGGAACACTCGTGTACACATTTTCAACAGATATTGGTCGAATATACACAATTATTCCATCAAGATAATAATAAACGAAAATTTAAAATTCTGGAAGCCCTTTATATAAGAGCCAAAAATAAAGTCAACTTCTAGTATAGTTACAAAGTTCTTTAATGATTGTAGCAGCCAAGTGCTATATAAAAATACGAAATTAAAATACTGCAATTAAAAAACCTTTTGATGTCTTTTTTTCAGTTTAAAAAATCGTATAAGTTATCTCTCTTGCATAGAGGTAAAAGTATTTTGAATTTACACTGTTAAAACATAGCACTTCCATAGATATGCAACCAATGAAGATGGTCTGAGATGAGATTGAAAGTACTTGACTTTTAGTATTTTCTGCAGTCACGAAGAAATTAATTCGTGGACTTGAAAGGATTATAAGTAAAATAAATGGACATAATACGTCTAAATTATTTAACCAAACATGCTTGAATGTGCATGCCTAAATTTATATATATGTGTCATCCATTAGGCATTGTTCAAGCAATAATTAAGAGCAAAATTGCTGAATTCAATAAGGTTAAACCTGCTACAGTACAAAAATGTCCTATGTACCTGTGCCTTCCTTGGCTGAGTAATATCAGTGATAGATATGCTAAACGGGTATCTGTAGCAATTCGTCATTGTTACTTTTCTGCTAACACTCGTGTGGTTTTCTCTGCTAGGCTTGTCCATATGGAAGGACGTTCTCCCTCCACATCATAATAGTTCTTTAATTTATTCCTTTAAATGTAGTTGTGGTCCGCACTACGTAGTGAGAACGACTCAAAGGCTGGATGTCAGAATAAAGCAACACGTTCCAATGAAAATCTGCAATCTTAATTACATTCCTTCCGACTTTCTGACCAATACATACGGGTCTTCCATGGCAGAACACCTAATAAATAGCCATAATTGTGCTACTTGTTTCAGTGTAGACGCATTTACCATTCTTAGCAAGTCCCACTCGAATTACCAATTGAAAGTGTTGGAAGCCATTTATATTTTATCGTTGAAGCCCTCTCTGTGTAAACAGAAGCACTTCGTCCTGGGCCTCCAACTAATTTCCATCTAAGAATATTTTTCTCTCAATACATATTGTCCACTTTTTTGGTGTTAATTCTATTAATTAACCTCGATTTAGCTCTGTTGAGCGAGGTTCGAAACTGGTTAGCTAGCTCGATTTTCAGTTTTACTTTTTATCTATTATCATCATGATTGTTAATAAAAATAATTTTTGTCTTTTTATGACAGTCCTATATTAATATATATATATATATATATATATATATGTGTGTGTGTGAGTGTGTGTGTGTGTGTGTGTGTGTGTGTGTATACAAGGATGTTTGTTTAAATAATTTAAGAACTTTGTTGTTATACCCGTAAATGTTTGTAGCAACAAAGGGTTATATAAAAATATTAAATTAATATACTACAATTTAAAAATCTTTTAAAAACTCACTAAGTTACCTCCCTTGCATAGCGGTGAAAAATAGTTTGAATTTACTGTGTTAACGCATAACACATCCCTAGATATGCAACCACTGAAGATGGTGTCAGAGTAGATTGAACATACTTTGGAAAATGAAAATTATTTGAAAGAAAATTTTGGAATTTTTCTTGATCAATTTTCTACAGCCACCAAGAACTTAATTACTGCACCTGAAAGGATTAAAACTAAAATAAATGGACATAATAGGTCTAAATTATTTAACCAAACATGCTTAAATGAAAATATGCTACATAAATAAATACCTATACACACACACACACATATATATATATATATATATATATATATATATATATATATATATATATATATCCGTGTGTGTATATGTGTGTGTGTGTGTGTGTGTGTGTGTGTGTGTGTGTTCAAGTCTGATTGTGTGTGTCTGTATGTTTGAATATATATGAGTAGCATTTAAAATCTAATACCTGTTCTAATTCAATTTTAAAATCATTTGTCAGAAATCCCAGGAATATTTTAACTGTAGACCATAAAATATGTTTAAATGTAAAGGAAATTTTGTGGAGTTACTTTTTGTTTTCTTAATTTCATTGGAAAGTATATAGCTGCCATGATTAAGGGGATAAGTTAGTAGAATTAATCACAATTCTAAAAGAAAAGAACTTTAGTGACAGGCTTAAAATGGCGGGTCAGCTTCTATTTGGTTAAAAATGCTGATGCTCTTCATAAATTAACAGAGGAATTCCTATAGTAAAATACCTTCAGATGAAACATTGTAACGCCTGCAATGTAGCAGTGGTCATTTGGTCTATTGACCGACTCGGTAAAAGAGCAGATATTTTGGGGGTTTTTTGTTTTCTTTTTAGATGGCGAAGGCTGGTAAAATGGCAAAATGATAATTGTAACGATTGTAATTCCAGATTTTACCATCATCGTAAGTAAATTGATGATCCTTAGTGAGTTTGATCTGTGTTTTAAGTCTTTTTTAAGCAGTCGGCAATCTTTTCTTTATTTCTCACAAAATTTCCCAGTTTCTTAATAGTTTGCTTAGTTTGTGGAATACGTCTTTTGCTTTTCCAAAGCGTGTTCGCATTCCGGTGTCGCAATTTCCATCCCTTGTTAAAATACTTCCCAGCTGTTTAGATAAAATGGTTTAGCATAAAACTTTTGACATAACATGTTAAAACGTCCCAAGTGTTGTGAGCAAAGAGGAACGAAAAAAATTACATTGAAAAAAAAAAAATAGTCAAGAATTAATAATCAAACTTATATCAAGCGTAATGTTGGCTAAAAAAAATGGCGTTTTTTTTTAAATGGAGCTATATTTCGTGGATCGTGGGAGATTCACACAAAAATGCAGTTTGCCAGAGTCATTCACGGACTAACGTTCACTTATTCGATTGACAATTCTAAAAAAGAATATTTAGTTAAAAATATGATGTCGTTCTTCTATAGCCGTCCATATTTTGAATGTAGAATGGGTGCGCATGCGTATAACATTACGTGTCTTTCCGCTGGTTGAATTGTGGAAAGCGATGGGAATCACACAATATGCGTCAACAATTCTTTTGAAGTGGGGAATGTGTCTGTTGCACAGGGCCACAGACATGGCAGTCAACACAGCTGTCAAAGAGAGCAAAGAAATAGGTGCTCTAGAAAGAAAGGAAAAGAAAAAGGACAAAGAGGAAACAGTGATAATTCAATGTCTACCAAGAGGAAGGAAGGAAGGAGGGAAGGAAGGAAGGAAGGAAGGAAGGAAGGAAGGAAGGAAGGAAGGAAGGAAGGAAGGAAGGAAGGAAAAGAGGCAGAATACATTGATGAAAGAAAAAATGAGAAAAATGGTGAAAAGTTTGCCTTAAAAGAGTAAAAGTAAATGATGTTGATATTGGTAAAGAAATAAAAATATATAAAAACGGAAACAAAATGGAAGCACAAAGAAAGAAAGAAAGAAAGAAAGAAAGAAAGAAAGAAAGAACGAAATGGGGGAAAAAGAAAGAAAGGTAGAGCGAAAAAAGAAAAAAGAAGAAAGAAAGAAAGAAAGAAAGAAAGAAAGAAAGAAAGAAAGAAAAAGAAAGGAATGTTGAAAGAAAGAAAAGGAAAAAGAAGAACAAAGAGAGGAAGAAAAGGAGGAAGAAAAGTAGGTAGAGACGAAGAAAGAAAGAACGAAATGGAGGAAAAAGAAAGAAAGAAAGAAAGAAAGAAAGAAAGAAAGGTAGAGCGAAAAAAGGAAAAGGAAGAAAGAAAGAAAAAGAAAGGAAGATCGAAAGAAAGAAAAAAGATGAAAGAGAGTAAGAAAGGGAGGAAGAAAGGAAGGTAGAGATGAAGAAAGAAAGAAAGAGAGAAAGAAATCGATGGAAGAAAAGTTTGATTTCGTTTGATTGCCATTGTTTTGTGGCATATCTACGCGCATGAAAGCTGATTATGAAAATTCTAATTTTATAATTAATCCAAGAGAATGATATTATTTTAGAATTAAATTAGAATTACTTAGCTGCATTTTTCCGAAATAATCTTCCAAAATCAAACGATCAGTAAAACCCTGTTCCTCCTTACAAGAAAAAAGATTAATCATAACATTTTTTATTTTACATTTTTTTAACAATGTATTCTATATCTTCAATTTTACAATAAAAATGTTTTGTTGGATAATAATTTTTTTTTTATTAAATGTATTGCTGGTAATTGTATTTTTACTTTCTTAATATTTTGATTCATGTTTGGGCTTCACTATTTGCCTATAGCTGGGACCCTAACAGGTGCTACCACCCCGGGTCAGGGTGGCACTGGGAACAGCAACAATTAAGAGATGATTACACGATCATCAAAATCTTCAATCTCCCGATCAGGGGCCTTGCTGCCGGTTGTAGTTTATCGTCATACCCAGGACTAGGATGAAGAAAAGAGAAATTCCCGGGTGAACGGACTAAAAGAAAAGCGTTGAACAGAGAAAAAAAGGAAATAATGAGTAAGAAAGAGAAAAACGAAGACTAAAAAAAAAAAAAAGAAAACATACAAAAAGTAGTGAAAAAAAAAAAGAGAAAAGGGCCTCCTGATGTCTGCATCAATGATTCTGGCATTGTGAATGGAACATGCTTGGACGTTATAATCAGAAGATGACAATTTTATGGACTGGAAAAGGGGTGGGGAGGAAAGAAGAAAACATTGCGAAGGAAAATCATCAAATGCGTGACTAGAATGTATTAGAATCGAGATTTCTCACGTATTTTTGAAAAAGAAATGAATCATCACTGACATGAAAACGTTTTTGACAGATCTTTGTATTTCGCTGGTTTCATTTGACCGTGCAGACGCGCACACACACACACACTCACGCTGATACACACTGTGTGTCTGTGTGTAAACATTGTAGTCACATAACCCATCAGAATAACAACTACCCCGTCCTGGGTATGACGATAAATTACATCCGGCAGGAGGGACAATGATCGAAAGGTTTTGAGGAACGTGGAACCAACTCTTAATTGCAGTTGTTCCCAGGACCACCTTAATTCGGTATGGTAGAACTTGTTAGGGTCTCAATTATGAGAAAATAGTTACCCCCCTAAAAAAAATGTGGTCAAAACACTATGAAAATATAAAAATAGATTTTTATAGTAAAAATATTAGCAGTTATGTGTCATGCGTGATACACGCTTAGGCGATCATGTATCTTTCGATACATGACTAACGAGGCAGATTTTTTCCTGCAGTAGGTTACTATTTCTTTCTACGGTAGACCAGTTTCCATCCAAGGCGATAGAATCCAGTCTGTCCTGCTATTTACCTATAGCTGAGAAGAAAATGATTCATACCTTTCCCAAGATTATTAGCACGTAAATGAATGCAATGGATTCGACTGGAATTCGAACTCGGATCTCCGATTTCTCAATCCGAGCCGTTATCCATTACTCCACACTGCCTCCATAGCAGCAATACATTTTGAAAAAAAGAAGATATTGCCATCAATACATTAGACACTCGACCAAAAACCCTCTTTACATGTCAAGGGCACTGATTTCTTACAAAGAATGCATATTCTATTCATACAAAACTATCCTAAAAATCTTGTGGGCATTAAATAACCCATTGAGGTGTTGATATGCCGTAAAATAAACCAAACCGTACCAAAACAATAACAACTACTCTGCATGAAGGACGTCAGATTGTTCTGTCAGGAAACATTGAGAAAAACCAAAAAATGGCAACCGTCTGTCTCCCTTAAATTTGGGGCTTATCGGAAAAGATTCAGATCTGTCGTACTTACATCAGGCTAATATTCAGAAAAAGCTCAGTATTACGGAGAAATCTCTTGTGGGTAAAGCTTGACAGAGTAGAGCATATGACCAAGAACTGTTTCATCACTTGACATTGTGGCAAACGCAAGAAAGGTGAAAACAACGCCTCCCACAACCAGACTAGAGGGAGAGCGAAAGCTGTAATTTGGAATAAAACAATGAAATCGAGCATGGCTGATCATGTATGGGGGGGAAGGATAGTAGTCAACAATAATTGCGGAAAGAAGTAAAAATACTAAACAGAGAAGAACACAAGAGAAGCTGATGTCTGAAAATATTAGCGCATATTTTAGACTATGTGGACCTCCTTAAGACTAGCATAGAAATAAAGACTATAAAAGAGTCGTTAGTAAATAAAATGAAATTACAAGGAGGCTTGAGCAACAGCAAGAAAAGGAAACTCTCGGTGAATGCGGTAAGCGTAACAGCAGCAGTGGAGTAATAGATAGCAGCTCGGATTGAGGAATCAGAGAGCCGAGTTCGAATTCCTGTCGAATCTATTACAGTCACTTACGTGCTAATAACCCCTTGGAAAAGAATGAATTCTCTTCTTCTCTCCACATCTATGGGTAAATAGCAAGACAGACTGGGTTCTATAGCTTTGGATGACAACTGGTCTACCGCAGAAAGAAATGGCAACCTACTGCAGCAAATAAAAATCTGCCTCGTCAGTCATGTATCGAAAGATACATGATCGCCTAAGTGTGTGTCCCGCATGGCACATAACTGGCAATGAGACAACTGCCCTTTAAATTAAAACGATTCTTTGTGGATTTCGAGACATAATAAGTGTGAGATCAGTCTTAGATTCAATGTGAACGGAGTGAGCAGTAACTGGGCAGAACTGTATAAGAATTAAATCAGATCTCGCTTAACTTGGTCAACGGAAGGAGAACACACTTCTTCTTTTATGTGCCTTATCACTTAGATGATCATAGCTCTCCACTTCCTCCTATCCTCTCAATAAGTTTTGTCCCTTTGCTACTTCCCACCAGGTCATGTTCTGTCATCCACTTGCTTAAACCCGCTAGGTATGTCATGCGTTGATTTCCCTTGTCTCTCTTTCCCTCTATTCGACCTGTGAGTATCAGATTCTCCAAGCCCTCCTTTCTCATTATATGCCTCAAAAACTTCAGCTGCCTCTTCCTGATGTTAAGTATAAGTGCTAAGTCCTCGAGTTCTCAAATGAAGAGAGTAACAACCTTCGGAAAGCATGAAGCACATCTTCTTTCTTCAGGATGTAGGCGATCATGGCTCTCCACTTTCCCCTATTCCTTGTAGCTCTCAATAAGTTTTGCCATGTTCTGTCATCCACTTGCTTAAGCCCGCCAGGTATGTTATGCGTTGATTTCCCTCTATTCTATTCTGTGAGTATCGGATTCTCCAAGCCCTCCTTTCTCATTACGTGTCCCAGAAATTTCAGCTGACTCTTCTTGATGTTAACAAATATAAGCTTCCTCCTCCTTTGCATCATCTCCAAAGCCTCATCGTTGCTTACATGTTTGGTCAATGGTATCCTTAGCATCCATCTATAGAACCATACCTCCGTTGCCTCAAGTCTTTTCTTCATCTTTGGGGAGACCATCCAACATTCCGTAAAGGAGGATAGATATCACGTAGCAGTTCAGTATTTTTTTTGTTTTTTGTTACCAATAATACTCTGCCTATCTTTTAGAATGCGTCTTCGGCCATCCTAATACGTCTTCGGATCTCAGCGTTGCACTTAGCGTCCTCTGTCAGAAGACATCCCAGATATTTCTACCCACTCTATAAAATAAAGTCTTCAGTTTCAAATTCCCTGAAGGTTACTTGGATCGATAGACCCCTGATGACGACTGGAAGTGAAAACGACTGAAATATTATGATAAAGATCAGGATATTGGTCCGAACATAAATAATGTAAATAATGATAACTTCTCATCCCAGAGTTTTTCATCGAAAACTGTGCGTTAATTGGACATTTACAATAGATTAAAATCTCCTTGGCTCATTTGACTCCATGTATTAAATATTGACTGATTGACCGCCTCACTATAGCGACCCTGTCACCAAGAGAGATCAATAAGTATATATCCATCAATAAATTTATTACAGATTTTATCTTATTACTGCTGCAGACGTTCAGAACACTCTGGGTCAATATTCTCCTCATTATTACTATTATTATTACTAATATTGCTATTAATACTATTATTGTTATTACTGTTATTACTATTAATACTATTATTACTCTTACTATTGTTACCATTATTACCGTTATTACTATTAATTCTATTATAACTGTTACTATTATTAAAATTAATACTGTTTTTATTATTACTGTTATTACTATTAATATTATTACTATTATTATTATTAATAATATTATAAAGTATTAATATTTTAATATTAATATTATTATTATTACTTTATATTAATATTAGTACTATTATTACCATTACTAATATTATAATAAATACTATTATTACTGTTACTATTATTACTATTAATACTCTTACTATTATTACAGTTATTACTACTGATACTATTATTACTATTACTATTATATATTATGCTATTATCACTATTACTATTATTATTATTATTACTACTATTATTACTACTATTATTACTACAATTATTACTACTATACTATTATTACTATTAATATTTTTACTTTTAACACTATTATTATTTGTTATTACTATTATTACAATTAATACTGTTACTGTTATTACTATTAATGCAATTACTATTATTATTAAAAAATTATATTATTACTATTAATATTATTATTACCGTTATTACTATTAGTGCAAATATTACTATTATTATTATAAATATTATTATTACTATCACTATTATTAGTATTAATACTAATATAATTACTACTATTACTACTATTACTACTAATACTATTATTAATATTATGCTATCATTACTATTACTATTATTATTTTTAATGCTATTATTATTACTGTTATTACTATTATACTATTATTACTATTAATAGTATTATTACTATTTTTGCTATTAATACTATTATTATTATTCTGTTATTTTATTACTAGTTTCATTATTGTTTTATTTTTTCACGCTTTTCATTATTAT